TAGAAACTAGAATCTGATCTGTTACCCTTGTCATGTTAATTGGATGCATCATGCATGTATGTTCCAATGATACTTTTGTTGTATGTTTTTTTTAAATGGTGTAATCAAGCAACAACACCTTTAAGGATTCTAGATTTGAGAGTATTACTTGTTGGGATTGTGAGCAAAGGGCATTATTAGGGCCTTTATTTCACTTGTCCACGGATCTTGGAAGGATCATTATAGTTTTAGGGCTCACCTGGTTGCAGAAGACAAAAGTAATAGAAGATTCAACTGGTTGCTTATATTTTTTGCCGAATATTTTTTCTACTGTATATTATTTTCAAGTAATTTTATAAACCAAATACTTTTTCAAGTATGTCCCTTTATGATCACAAATTGTTTTGGTCCAGGATGGTTCTCCTTATATATTCTATGTAAAAGTCAATCTCCCTCTTTCTCGCAATTAAGATTACACTTTCCTTTTATACCTCCACATTTAGCAAGAAAGTTGAAGGAAGAGTCTCCAATACCCTTAACTACTTTTTCCTAATCCACCCAACTATTGTTTAATTTTTGAACACGGTAACTTTATCTTGAATCACCCACCTTTTCTTACACCACCCAACAAAAAAATTGTCTACCACTATGGAGTCAAACTATAAACGTCATTGCAGGATAGATGGAATATTTATTAACAAGAACACAAATATATAGAAAGCCATTCACTCCCTACTACACTGGTATTCATGGTAGATCTTTCAATGGATATGTTAGGATTGTTATCATGTTTTTGATGTTGTAATATTGAATTGCTTGTATACGTGATTTCTTTTCCCCAAGCTTTCTTGTAATCATGTTAGATTATATTTTAATGGATAAATTGTGAGTTTTTGAATGTTATAAAGGTGAATTTATTCTGCAGGCTGTAGCTAGTGATGTCAAACAGGAACAAAGGAAAACAAAGGTTCAAACAATACGATGGTGATGCTGATAACGATGAGTATTCCAGTGGTGGTAAACGGCAAAAGAGAAGTAAACTGCTCTCTAACTATTTCCAAGAGGAAGCAGAAGAAGTTGATCCTAGTGATGAAGAAGAGGAAGAAAACCAAGAAGATGATGACTTCATTGAAACCACTGGAGAAGTTGACATACCCAACATTGAGTATAACATGCACAGTCGTCTCCATCTTCCACATGATGACCAAGAAGAAGATATTGATGATTTACAAACAAGGATTCAACAGAGATATGCTCATCACAAGTATAAAAAAGAGGAGACAACCAAAGAGGTTATTAAACAACAATCTCTACTGCCATCTGTGATGGATCCAAAACTTTGGATGGTAAAGTGTACAATGGGTCGTGAAAGGGAGGTAGCTATTTGCCTAATGAAAAAATCCATTGTTCACCCTGAAAAATTTAAGATCACGGCTGCTATATCAATTCATAATCTAAAAAACTTCATATATATTGAAGCTGAAAAGGAGGCTTATGTTAGGGAGGCTGTTAAGGGAATGCCAAATATGTCATCTGGTAGTAAAATTATGCTTGTTCCTATTAAGGAGATGACTCAAGTTGTTTCTGTTGAGACCAAATCAGTAACTGATCATGTTACTAGAGATACCTGGGTTAGAATGAAGGCTGGCACATATAAAGGTGATCTTGCTAAGGTTGTTGACATTGACAATGTAGAGCACAGGGTTATGGTGAAACTAATTCCGAGAATCAACTTGAAGGCTCTAGCTAACAAATTGCAGGGAAAGGAAGTTCTTGAGAAAAGTGCTGTTACTCCGCCTGCACGTCTCATGAATGTTAATGAAGCACGAGAATTGTATGTCCGTGTGGATCGCACAAGAGATCGATCAAATGGTGATTACGATGATGTCATTGGTGGGATGCTATTCAAGGATGGGTTCCTGTACAAGAAAGTGTCTATCAGGTCTTTAAGTACATCAAATGTGCAACCAACTTTTGATGAGTTGGATAAATTTAGGCATGGTGATCATATGCCTAGCTTGTCTGCCAATAGGAAAAGAAGCTGCTTCATGAAGGGCGAAAGGGTCATTGTTGGTGTGGGAGACTTGAAAAATTTAAAGGGGACAGTGGAGTGGGTGGAGCAAGATCATATGGTACATATAAAACCGGACGAGAAAGGGCTCCCTAAAACATTGGCCATTAGCCACCAAAACATTTGCAAGTGTTTTGAGGTTGGGAACTATGTGAAGGTCGTGTCTGGGGCTGCTGAGGGCGAAACCGGATTGGTGTTGGCAATTGAACGACACATTGTGAACATTGTCTCAGACGCTACCAAGGATTGTCTGCGTGTATTTGCTGCCGATCTTGTGGTTGTCAAGAATTGAGAGATGGCTGTGGAATCATGCCGAAATCGTAACTTTCACCATCTTTTGATCGCATCTTAGTCTTCTTTTTTTTAATTTGTTTTTTTAAGTGGAACTTTTAATTTGTTTTTGGACATCCATGGTCATTTGAGGCTTATTAGTTTCTAAGTTGCATAAGACAAAATTAATTTTATACTATCAATGATAATTTTAAAAATATGGTATTTGCATCCGGTATAATGCCAAGCTAAAATGCGTGCGTTTGCTAAATCGTGTGTGTTTAGTACTCTGATACTCTCATAGACTCGTACTCACGGTTTCGTCTCTTTATGTACGAATTCTTTGTGACTCTCTTTTGGGAACGTAGGAGATAATGTTGGCATCTAGAATGTTTTCATGCATGTTTTGTGAAAGCTAACAACACTGGCCAAAATGGAGTTGGTGCATTGATATCCAGTCTAGCCCACATGTGCCCGTGACCTCTTAATGCCGGCCACCCTCCCACCGACTATCATCGCCCACCTCTCGTCGTTGGCCGCCACCACCCCTTGCTTTCAGCAACCTCGCGTTGTAGTCATTGACCACCTGCTATAGTTGGCCACATGTCGGTGTCGCCTATTTCATGCACGTCACTAATAATCATCATGTTTCCAAACGAGTTCATTGCACCGATACCTAGGTCCGGGTTATCATTGAAGAACACATACTGATGGGAGAAATTTAATCTTTTCAAAATATTACGGAGTAAAACTAAACACGAAACTCGCGGTCATATGTAGGCATATAATCCTATTTTCATTCGACGGAGTTTGAGATCAAATTCGGATGAGTCACTAGTTTATTCTACTTTTTTAAAAATAAAATTATGAACTATGATACGTGTACACCAAAGGGCAAAGGTGTACCCATATTGTACATCATAGGTGTGCACGACATTATGCTGGTTCATACTAGTATAAATGATAGAAAAAATTTTACACTTGCATTTTGGACTAGTGTGAACTATTAAAATATCGATGCACACCTTTGGTGTACACTTTTTGTGCAAGTTGCTTAAGAGCATCTCCATCGCAGAGGCCATATGCTAAAATTTACACAATTTACACTTTGTGGTTAATTTTTTGACTCTCCAAGGGAGAGTGTAAAACAAATGCTAAAATACAATATATGGTAAAATACAATTAGCAAAGGTGGTTGTAGATAGGGACATGAATAAATGTGTAGTAGGAAGTATATTATACAAAACATGGTTGGAGTAGGTATTAAGAGCATCTCCAATGTATAGTGTAAAAATTGGTAGTGTAAATTACATTTTACACTATCAACAATATTTTACACTTCCACTTTTTAATACCTACTCCAACCATGTTTTGTATAATATACTTCCTACTACACATTTATTCATGTCCCTATCTACAACCAACTTGTATATATACACTTTGGCAATTCTATTTTACCCTATATTGTATTTTAGCATTTATTTTACCCCCTCCCTTGGAGTGTCAAAAAGTCAAGCACAAAGTATAAATTGTGTAAATTTTAGCATATAGCCTCTACACTGGATATGTTCTAAAAAGTGGAAATGTAAAATATTGTTGATAGTGTAAAATGAAATTTACACTACCAACTTTTACACTATACATTGGAGATGTTCTAAGGTTGTGTTCCGTTCTCCTGATTTGATATTATGAAGATCTGGTCTGAACTAATCCGATTACATTTATATTTAAACCATTTTTTATTTGATCTAGTCTGATTTTAATAAGAATAAGGAATAAACTTTACCAACCCTTAATCTATCATTCTATCTATTCTCTCCTTCTCCAATTTGATTACAATTTTGTTTTCTCTCTACTCTTGATAACATTTGTTTGTTTATGCGATTTCATAAAGTATTTGATAAAATAAAATATTCTTGTCACCACTAGTTTTGTGAAACTTTTGACGTAGTTTTTTAATATGTAATTTTTATTTTTTATCGATATAGCAATTTGTAAATAAAATGATTTCAAAAAGTTTGAAAAAATATTTTTTTTCTTTGTACTCCTTATTACGCATAAAAATAAACTGAAAGAAATAAAACCTTCTCAGTTGACGTCGTCGGGTTCAATCTCGACATCGGCGTGCTTCACCCGTTTCTTCGATCCTTGCAATTCTCTCCATAACCCTCTTTGATGTTCTTTTAAATTCGCCTTCGAAATTTCTCCATTTTTCTGTCATTTTCAGTAAAACTCTAGATTCCTAACTTGGTTAATTGATCATTGATGAGCGATCTACAGTGAGATACACAATTCCCCTAAAAAAATATAGGGCTTTTGGTGTTCTGGGCGCGGATTTACTTAGTTTATGTATATACGAGTAGGAGGATCGATGGAACGGGAAGTGCAGCTGGAGCCGGCGGTAGGGCCTGAGCTCAGCGACTCCGATCCTCTGCTAAACGACCGCCGTGTTGACCTCACACCGTCGCTCCCCTCTTCGCCGCAGAGCTCCAGCGAGATTAAGGTCGAAGATTCGGAGAATGGTTCGCTGCCTTGCTGCAGAATCTGCCTCGAGTGCGACGGGGAAGATGGTATTATCAATTTGTTTTATATTTTCCTGAGAATATTTATGTTGTTTATCTACATACAGATGCCATCAGTTCCTTTTTTTTTCCAAAAAAATTATTTACTCCCTCCCTCTACGAAATATGTTTGTGTTTCATTTTACAATGCTAGTTCAGTTTATAAAACTATTGGTGTAATATTAAAAATAAAATTTATATATTAGAAACCATCTCAAAATTCTTACCAAATAACTGTATACGGAGTATTATTTTGTCAAATGAGTAGTGTGAATAATAAACAAAGAAGATAAAGTGTGACTATATGAATGGTAATTAAGAACATACTTTTGGGAGAGAGAGAGTATAATTCTTTCTGGGTTTTCAATTGTACTCCAAGCAGTGTTTATGTTGTTATTGTGCAGTGTAAATGTTGTTATTGATTTGTAGTAAGAGACACTGAGATTGGTCTTTACTCTTTTTTTTTTGGATGAAATTGGAAGTTTGTTTTAATTCTGTTCATCATTGTTTGTATGTCTCTTCAAATCTGTTTTGTCATGTTTATATGTATTGTTAGTGCTTGAACTATGTGCTCTAACAGGACATATAGTCCTTTATTAGTAATTGTCAGTAGTCAATTATGTTTTGTTGTGGGTGTGCATATATTACTATTACTTGCATTAAAGCAGTCTTTGTTTGCTTGTATTGTCCCATCTTCAGATGATGACTTGATATCACCATGCATGTGCAAAGGCACCCAGCAGTTTGTGCATCGTGCTTGTCTCGATCACTGGCGATCGGTCAAAGTGAGATATAGCAACTTTCCCATCTTTTATTGTCCAATGTGAATGATTAAATATGAAATGATGAGTTCTGATGAATCCTGATGTAGGAGGGATTTGCATTTTCACATTGTACTACTTGCAAAGCTCAGTTTCATCTTCGAGTCGTGGAGCTAGAGGACAACAGTTGGAGGAATATAAAGTTCAGGCTCTTTGTTGCTAGGGATATTTTCCTTGTGTTTTTGGCTGTACAATCTGTATGTATTGTCTTCCCTAATCCTGACCTCTAATGTCGCTTTTACTGAATGTGGTTTTCACGAACAATGGCGTCATGTGCACTTTGTGCATTCTCAAAGCATCTTATTTGTTTTCTTTTTTTGCAAGTGTTTATGCCCATATTCTGTTTGTATCTCTAGTGCTTATCTAAAAATGAGAAAGTAGAATATTATGAGGGAAACATGCATATTTGGAAATGAAAATGAAGACCGAAAACGTGCCTTTTTTGAAGTTAGTACTGATAAGGTTGTTGCTATATTCACCTCCATTTTGGCTATATCCACTCTATTAATGTTAAATTGATAATTTTAACCTCAAAAATCAAAAGAGAGAATGCAAGGCCACTTTAAGTGCAAAATTGTCCATTTAATACAAAAGGTGTGGACATAGCAACACCCTACTGATAATTGTCTTGATATTTATCACGTATACATGAACACAAGGGAATGTGCTACATTCNCCTTTTTTGAAGTTAGTACTGATAAGGTTGTTGCTATATTCACCTCCATTTTGGCTATATCCACTCTATTAATGTTAAATTGATAATTTTAACCTCAAAAATCAAAAGAGAGAATGCAAGGCCACTTTAAGTGCAAAATTGTCCATTTAATACAAAAGGTGTGGACATAGCAACACCCTACTGATAATTGTCTTGATATTTATCACGTATACATGAACACAAGGGAATGTGCTACATTCTCCAGTTTTTTGTTCTTATAAGAAATAATAGCATCAAAATCTTCAACACAGAAGGCCAGAGGGGGGCTTAAGGGGCTTTTGATTACACCATGTTTGACAGTTTTATTTTATCCATGAATGTAGTTATGTCAAATTGGGATAATCTAGATCTAAAGATCCACGTCAGAACTTTATCCGATTCTTATTGTTGTTTCTTTTCTCGACAGGTTATTGCGGTGATGGGTGGCTTTGCATACCTTATGGATAAAGAAGGAACATTTAGGAATTCATTCAATGACAGTTGGGACCGAATATTATCCAAGCATCCCATTCCCTTTTATTATTGCATCGGTAAGAGTTGACACGCTAATAATATACGGAGTAATATTCTGGATAATGACATGTAATAGTGAATCATATGCCGTCCAAACATGATACCTTCTCCTGTTATTGTGTTGGTAAGCATTGTGAGTTTCAACATCAATTGCATATGTAGTAAATTTAATTTTTTCAAGTGTCTTGTGGAAATGGAAATTATTTAGTGTCTTTTTGCTAGGAGAATGTCTCTGCTTCTCATCCTTGTCATTCAGATTCTCTGCCAAGTACTAACTTATTTGATTGTGCTTGTTGAATTGGTTGATAATAAAAAAGAGCAGAATGTCTTTGGCTAAAAGAAAGTCTCAAACCAGTGATATGAAAGGAAAAGGAAAATGCTCCCTTATTTTCAGTAGTGCATCTTTGCCTCTTTGGCGGACCTAAAGTCCCCACTATTTCTTGTGGACCTTCTCTAATAAGAAGCATTTTTTTCCTTTTTTTCTTTTTGCAAAATAAAAAAAGCTTATTAGGGTAGTAAGTATTACGTATTTTCTTACCACCCTCATATGAAGGTCGACCTAAAACGGTGTAGACCTTACGTCCAACATAGCACTTGGCTATTTTTTTCCGATGTCATTTCTTTAATATAGGAGATAATTTAGCTCATTGAACCAACAACAACAACCCAGTTAAATCCCACAAGAGTAGGGTCTGGGGATGGTGTGTGTACGCAGACCTTGCCCCTACTCGAAAGTAGAGAGGCTGTTTCCAAAGAGACCCCGGCTCAACGTCGAAAGTTACATTGCTTGACTAACTGCTACTTCATTAATTAAAGAAGCGCAAATAGTTTAGATATCCATTTGATTTATTCCATCACACCCCAAAGCCAAAAACAGGTGAAATTTTGGCTCCATCGGAGATGATGGAAAATAGCTCATTGAACCATTTCTTCCAAAATTTTAATAGCTTTTGCTGATTTACCCTGTTGAAACATTTTTTGCCAAATCTCACCTCTTCAAAACAGGCTTTTAGATCCACACTATCTAGTACTTTAGAATGAAAGTTGCAGAATTTGCATTTCTTCCCATAACCTGAGTAGGGTGTTAACTTTGATGACAAAACAGGAGTACTTGCCTTCTTTGTGCTGCTTGGATTTTTCGGGCTCATTCTTCACTGCTCCTCCTTTAATAGAAATGACCCACACATGGCTGGTTGTCAGAACTGCTGTTACGGATGGGGTATCTTGGATTGCTTTCCTGCATCAATGGAAGCATGCTTCACACTGGTTATCATTTTCGTAGTTATCTTTGCTATAATGGGCATTGCATATGGTTTTCTAGCTGCCACCATGGCCTTCCAGAGGATCTGGCAGAGACACTATCACATTCTCACTAAGAGAGAGCTTACTCAGGTCCACTCACTTCCTTCTTATCTGATCCCTAACTTTCCAATTTCTTTGTTAAATTCTGCACATTTTTACTTGTTCAGTGTGTAGACTGGCAATAATATTAATACATTTCCTCACTTTGAATCTTCATGCAGGAGTATATAGTGGAGGATCTTCATGGCTGCTATACCTCGCCGAAACTCGACAAGGAGCATGAAGAACGTCTTAAACTGCTCCAACTGTTATAGGATGATAGAGATAACCATGAGCGTTTTAACTCTGCTTTAGCATGTTTATAACCGATCAATGCCTCAAAAGCACAAGGTTAAGTTCATTTAATCTGCTTCAGCAAGAAACTTGGTGCCTTTTATGTTTTCTGGTAAGTGAACATCAATTCTAGTGTTGCTTGGTGTATAAAGAATGTATTTACACTTCGCGTTTTATATATTACGTACATAATATCGTGGCTTGTTAAATTATGTTAAGCGTAATACTGCAATTGGAGAATAACGTTATAATTGAATAATTGTGATTTGTGACCAATGTTGCAATGTGCTAGTTTGAACAGGACATGAAACTATGAAAAATAATTTAATCACGATGAGCATGTCATAGAGTCATAGTGCATTGATATCAGAGTGTTGAGTGAAGAAGACGAGCCTTAAGAGTTTGAGGGAATGTGATATTGACATCAAAAGAAAAAAATTATATGAACCCCACCCTATACACTCTACTTTTGATCTCATTACCTTTACAGACGTTATAGACACAAGATAGAGTTCGGTGTCTATCTATGAAGGTAATAATGTGGAAAGTGAGGTGTGAGGTAAGATTCTTTTAGCATGGCTCATTATCAAAAATGTTGAAGAAGATTTGTATGTAGTATGTACTGGAGTATATTTGTACGAAGTGCGAGGAAATGAATGAGCGTTATTTATAGAGAAAAGATGGGAGTTGATAATGTAAAACATCTATTCCCCCAATAAATTCTTTAGAGCTTTTTTCTTTTGATCGAAAGCATTGTTATATACTCATTCCGTCCTAGTCTATATGTCCATTTTGATTTTTTGGTGTCAAATATGATGAACTTTGAGCTTCAATAAACAAAATTGTAATGTAAATTAATATAAAAATGGTTTTATTAACATGTTAATTTTCTTCTTTTATTATTGTAGTATTTCGTATTTTAATGTTATTTTTGCTTATTTTTAATTTTTTTATTTGTTACAATCTTTTTTTATTTATCTAAAACTATTCGTCCTTTTTTAGCTGAAGTTAAATATTTGTATTAAATATATATAAATTTTAAATTAAAACGATGAATAATGATTACTACATTATTTCAGAATGAGTAATACATTATTTTAAAATGAGTATCACTTTATTTCTAAATAAATAGTTATATTTGTGCAAAAATGAGTAATACTCTGTTTTAAAATGAATATTAGCCCGATGTAACATGTACCTTTGTAGAATTGCTCTAATACCTCGTGTAGTCATCCTCAAACTCCCTCACCTGCAAAAAATTCACAGAAAATCTGTTATCTTGAAAATGGCACTTCTTCACTCATCTCTATCCGCCACAGCAATCCAACAATCCCTCGCACCGTCCATATCTCTTCTGTCTCCCACAAGGCTACCATTCCTCCATGCCGAATTCCCCCGACTTAGACTGGCCCCTGCGACCACCGCGAACCGCCCCTTCCGAACGACGACGATTTGCATGGGAGGCGGCCCGAGAACCTTTCCGGGCGGAGTCACCAAGTGGCAGTGGAAGCGGATGCAAGCCAAGAAATCAAAGCAGCTCCTCAAAGCCCGGCTGGCCAGGGAGCGCCAGATCTACGAGATGCGGAAGCGCGCCGAGCTCAAAGCCGCAATTTCTGAGCTCGAGAGGCCGTGGGAGGCGGTGGAGAAGGCGCCGACGCTGTTCTCCGTCAGGGCGGATGAGCAGCTCAAGGTATTGGCCGACCGGTTCCAGAAGCCGGGAGGGATCGACTTGTGGTCCGAGAAAGACGGACCCGAATTGTTCAAATCCGGATCTGCCCTTTCTTCAGATAGAAAAATTGTTCAAACCTTCAAACCCTATGGCAAAATTGAAGACACCAATGATGGATTTGTGAATTCTGTCTATTCCGGCCAAGACTCACTGGGTGAAGATAACCAGCCACGGGGAATGAACAAAACCAACTTCCATGGGAGCTCAAGAAGAACCTCCCAGACCAATTCTTTGGATAGAGAACGAAATGATTTCCGTTCAGATGAGCAGAACTCGAAGAGAAGGCCTAAGGGTCTGAAGAGTAATTCCAGGAAGGGGAACATCATGAGTTCTTCTTCCTCTGTCCTGCAGAAGCCGGATCCAGAGAAAATCGGACGAGTTAATTCTGCAAACAATTTTATAAATGGGAAGGTAATGCTCAATCGTTCCAAATCGGTAGATATGGTTTTGCAGGGTGATGATGGAATTCATGACTTAAGAGATTAGAACTAAGCATGCAAACTACTATGGTTTTGATGACTCATAAAGTTTGAAAAAAAAAGGGGTTCCAGCTTAATGCAGGATCTGCATTCTTGAGATTAGAATGCAAACCCATTCAGATTGTTCATCAACCAAACTACAAGATGGCAATGCTTAGAAAAAATATATATGAGGTACTTATGTATGTACTCATTCACTGGCTTTGTACATTCTATGGCTTCCCTTTTTTACTCAATCAACATACTTTAGGCGCTTCTCTTCTCTTCTCTAAAATATATTGCCTCTAATGAGATTCATTTTCCTGTCCTCTCATACAAAATTAACATCAATAAAATGCTACACGTAACTTGGATCCGTCCTCCAATTAAGTTCCCACTTAGGATATCTCTTAATCAAGTTAACACTTTCATACGGGTATCCAATAATGCAGTATTATTGCTAGAAAATACAAACGATACTTCTAAAATGTTGTCACTTCCCCAAAAAGCAAACTTGTTAGTTTCTCAAGCAATCTTTATATGATTTTTTGGGATGTCCACACAAAAAATTGCATGGTCTAATAATATGTGAAGTGAGAGTGTAAACTTCATTTGTGACGATGAGAACATATCATTATTATCACCAGAGCCGTATTTATCAAACACAGAAGCTGGGAATCAACTACTAAGAGGATTAGCAAACACGCTAATGAGCCACTCTCTCAGTCTCAGGTTTGCTTGTGTAGACTGCTTTGTCACTTAAGGGATAAACCAATACATGGCATTACCAATGGTGGTTCTCCACAGAATTGCACATAAATGACTCCTTGTGCACATATAATGTGCAAGAGCCTAAAGGACAAAGGAGTTTCAAATTTTACTTTGTCCACAACTACTCCACTAAGAGCACCCACATTGGGTGGTGGAGTAAAGGGAGGACTACTCCTCCTTCTCTCTTCCACATCAGATTTTGTGGACCCATAATACAACTTCTCCATTTACTCCTCCTTATCATTTACATCAAAAGGATTACTAAAATACTATTCATTATATATCTTAAATGATTTTTTATTAAATATTTATACTATGTACAATTATATGAATTTAAGAATTAATAAAAAAATATAATTGTACTTCATTTTATGGTTTTGACAATAAAATTGTAATTCATTAATAAAAATAAAAAAGCTACTTAAATTTATTTCAACAAATGAATTTCGAAACAAAACTAAATTAAAGATAGAGTAAATTATATAAAAGGTACCCAGTTATAGGTCGTTTTACATATTTAGTCCTTACATATCAAATATTACTAATTTAGTCCCTAATTATTATATTTATTTCCACGAATGGTCCTTTGTTAACATTTCCGTTAAGAACGTGGACAAAATTGTATATTCATACTTTTCTCTCTCTTCAATTAAGCCTCCTCCATTTTCTCATACTTTTTTCCAAACTCGTCGCTGAGTTTGAATCTCTTAAACCCAAAACTTAAATGATCGTTCCTCCAGTTAGAAAAACAATTGAGAGAAGAGTGATGATTTTGGTTTAGGGTTCAAAGCTAGAAACTCAGTGACGGATTTGAGAAAGGTGTGCAAGGGAGGAGGGAAGCTTAATTGAGGAGAGAAAGGAGTGAGAATTTATAATTTTACCCACGTTTTTAACGAAAATGTTAACAAAGGACCATTCGTGGAAATAAATATAATAATTGGAGACTAAATTAGTAATATTTGATATGTAGGGACTAAATATGTAAAAGTACCTATAACTGGGGACCTTTTATGAAATTTACTCTTAAAGATACCTATGTATATCTTTCTAACAAATTGAATTTAATTTAAACTTTTGACATATATTGTTACACACCAATAATTTTATTTAAGAGTTAAACACGAGATACCCCTATTTTTTGATAATTTTTTTATATTTTACTTCTAATAAGGTAGATTTCTCAATTTTCATTTGAGAACAAATAAAAATTTTATTTTCAAAAAATATCTCAAAATTAATTATACTTATTTCTATAAAAAAAACTACCCGGAGTACTAAACTTTCTCATATATAAAAAAAAAAATGAAAGGAAATGCCACACGTCAAGAAAGAATTGGCTCTCCATCTCATTTCTTCTTCTTCTCCACGGACTAGTCCTTCTCTCTCTTGAGGAGTACTCTTTCTTCTCCTTCAACTACTCCATCCAATGCGGGTGGTCTGAAGGCATGTGATTTTTTTTTATGCAAAATTACTTTTCTTACATATTTATTTACTTGATCATCTCATTGAGTGAATTTTTTAGCATTTTAATTTTTCAATATTTTCTAACTCTTTCCCTTTTTTCCAACTTTATTTTCCAACTACTCAACTAAGGACAACTCACCGGTAAAATCTTTATAATATGTGCCATTTAGTTCATATATGTACTCAAAATTGATGCAATTCAGTCTTTCTACTTAGAGCTGTACATGTTTAGGTCCAGACTAAAAAAACTAACGAAGCTGGACCTTTAGGTCCTGAGCCCGGGTCAAATATATTTTAGGTTGGCCTTCGGTCTAGGTTATTTAGAATTTTGGGTTTCGGTCTAGTCCAGTCCATAACCAATTGCCATTAGTACACGGCTTGCACATGGCTGAGGGCAAAACAATGAAGGTATTTTTCAATTTGGCTTCAAGAAACAAAACTTTTAAATGTTTCTTCTTCTACTTAGAGTTTGGGAATCTAATGTTTCAATTCCTCACATATTGAAAGTATTGAGAATTTGACATGCACTTTTTTAATCATGTCTTTTGGTTTCAAAGTGCATGTTGAATTTGTAAAGGAACAACAGTGACCCCCACAATCTGTATCCGTGAAATCTGTCTCCAACTCTTGATGATTACCGAGTACTACCAATTGAGTCTTGTCTTGTTTCTTAGAACCATCGGAATGAAATTTGGTTTTATAGACCCTTTGACAATCGAGAGCAATACAATTAGAAGGTAGGTTGGTGATATACCAAGTGTGGCTATCCTCCAAAGCATGCATAGCTCCTCACCAAGTAGCACGCTACACAGCCGCTTGAAATAACGATATGAGCAACTCGCCCTTGGTTTGGATTGAGTTGACTATAAGAGATTGAGATATCACCACTCGTTGTGTGGCTAGCTACAAAAGATTGAGATGCTAGACTCGTTTGTTCATGTGCTAACTAGGCGAGGCTAGTTACTATTTGAGGGGAGTGTTAGAATTCCCACGTTGGAAAACAAAGAAAAATACCGGTAACATATATATAAAGGTGAAGTCTTACCCATCATAATCTTTTGGGTCAGAAAGTAGATCCCTACTTTATATGCAAGCGGTTAATTTTACGTGACACTTTGCTCATTGTTCTCATCCCATCAGTGTTTTAACAATTATTATTATTACTTTATTATAATTATTAATATTAATATATTATTATTATTATTATTATGAATCTTGGCAGAATAGAAAATATTGATGTAATGTCATAATTTATTAGAAAAAATCCATTTGTTCTCAAAATAAACTTTAGTTATATCATACTCCTATGTTATAGATAAATATAAATATAAATGGTCAAAATATTATATCGGAGATCATAACAAGTCAGATAAGAAGAAAGATGTGAGAAGTTTTTTTTAGAACGGACAACAAGAATGAATATGTTTTTATGAAAAATGGAGTACAAGCCTATAAGCTAATTACAAAGTAAATTTTTAATTCAAAAATGGTTTTATTAATGAATATAGTTTAAGTAATTCCTTTGTCCTAATTTAAGTTGCGTATTTACTATCTACATACTCAAAATTTAACCACTTTCGTTACCCATTTACTCCCTCCGTCTCATTTTATAATGCCTGTTTTGGTTTACGATGTTTGACTGTAGTTATTTTCAAATCATTTTATATGACAAAGAGTATATAGTTAAAAAATAAAAATTACATATTAAAATATTACATCAAAAGATCTACAAAACTAGTAGTGACAACAATATTTTATTTTATCAAATTGCTAACGAAAATAGAGAAATTTAGTGAATGAAGTTTGATCCTGTGAATAGTGAACCAGCATTATAATTTGGGACGGAGGGAGTAAAAAATAATATAGTCTTGTCATCTTTTGTTTAATTTAGAAATTTTGATATAGTTTTTAAATGTATAAATTTTATTTTTTAATTTCATAATAGTTTTCAAATAAATTAAATTAAAATTAATTTTAGTTAAATGTTGTAAACAACAACATGCATTAATTTGGACGAAGGGAGCATTATTTATGAAATAAAAATAATAATAATATTTCTTTCTATCATTTTTGTAAGACACAAGACACGACATATCTTGTACTCCGTAACCATCTAAATTGTTGTGCATTCTATTTTCTTTTAGTAAGAATTCTGTAACTCGTAAATTTGCATAAACTATTTTTGTACTACGTAACTCGTAATGGTTATTTTTCACATTTATTTGGGGGACTTTTTTAATCATAGTAAATTCTCTAAATAGTTTTTTAATTGGGAGTTTTTCCTATTTAGTCAATATTTATCAAATATTATGTGGGCAATCCTTATTAATTGGGTATCAATCCATATCTTGTCATGTATCTATTTTTCTGTTTCAAAGTCTTAGACAATGACTAAACGTGAAATGATATACAATCAATAAGGACCGTGAACATAATACGGAGTATTTGATGAATATTGACTAAATATGAAACCCCAAGTTATAAAGGATTATTTAGAGAATATTTATTACGTATTATTGTAGATGAAAAGTGTATTATTGTAGATATTTGTTAAAAGTCAAAATCTGTACACTATAAAAAGAAGTTTACCAAAAATTTTATTTTTTAATATGAGAATCAATTTGGAATGGATACAAATTAAAAAGAAAATTGAAGTTATTATTTCGTTTTAAGAACAAGAGTATTTTTATAGAAAAAAGAATGTCTTGCGGAGTATTATATGTTAGGGGCACAGATCCTCTCAGCGAGAGTTCATGTGCCACTCCCTTTTCCAACGTTGGAATGTATGTCACCTAAAGAGCAACTCCAAGGGGTAGTCTATATTGTAAAATATACACTATAGACAATTTAATGTTGTCTTTTCAACACTCCAATGAATATGGTAATCCAAGTGGTAAAATGCAATGTAGTGTAAAAAGCAATCTCCAAAATGTATTTTTACAAGTTCACTATAGATAGTGGAAAGAATAAAAATTAATTTTCTTCATTTTTTTCCTTCCCCCTTCTCCATTTTCATAGGTACAAGGTATTTATTACGTGTTTTTTAAATATTTATTAAAAATAAGTAACTTAAAACAATAAAATATTATAAAAAGTATATTATATAGAAGATATAGTTGGAGTAAGTATAAAAAAATGGAAATGTCAAACACTATTGATAGTGTAAAATGAAGTTTACACTACCAATTTTTACACTACACCTTGGATATGCTCTAACATAATACTCCGTAGTACATGAGTATTTTTTTAATCCAAGCATTGTTATTAAACATGGTAATAACATTTAATTACTTTCGGGAAAAGAATTAAACTAGATTTAAAACACAGAAAAATCATAAAAAATGGGAGCATTGTGTCCCGAGACAAAGAAGAAATAATAACGCTCAGGGCGAGGTCGACTGAACAAAATCGCCAAATCGGAAAACTGCCGGTAGAGAGACGCCGCCGTACGCCGAGCCACCAGCCTCCAGCCTCCAGGTTCGGCTCAGGCCCATAAATTCTCATGACCGGTCCTGTGTGAGGCCAAGGTTAGACTTCGACAAACACAGTTGTTGTTCTACCCGTGTCAATGGCAGATCCTAGGGTTTTCGGCAGCCAAAAACCCAATCAAGCCGGTATCATTTCCAAAATCCGACTAGAGAATTTCATGTGCCACAACAATCTCGAAGTCGACTTCGGGGATAGCATCAACTTTATCACTGGCCAGAATGGCAGCGGTAAAAGTGCAATACTGACAGCTTTATGCTTGGCATTTGGGAGCCGTGCAAGAGGAACTCAAAGGGCAAACACAATGAAGGACTTCATTAAGACAGGATGCAGTTATGCGCTTATACACGTTGAGATAAAGAACCACGGGGAGGATTCATTCAAGCCTGAAACTTATGGCAGGGCCATAATAGTCGAGCGGAGGATATCAGAATCTGCTAGTTCTATCATTTTAAAGAATCACCAAGGTAAAAAGGTGGCATCTCGAAGAGAGGATCTCTTTGAATTAGTGGAACACTTTAATATTGATGTTGAAAATCCATGTGTGATAATGAGTCAAGACAAAAGCAGGGAATTTTTGCACTCAGGAAACGACCGTGACAAGTTCAAGTTCTTTTTCAAGGCTACTCTTCTTCAACAAGTCCTCCTAGAAAACTTCCCATAACTCTGGGTGTATCCGTTACGTCTGTCAGATTAACTACTCGACCTCTTCAATTAATCGGGTTAAGAGTCTCTTGAAGTCCTTGATGTCCGGTTCTATTTTTCGTACCTCGTGTATCTTCTCTATAGTGAAGTCCATCTCCACGATTCTTTCTTTGAACGAACCAGCACCCAGATATTAATAGACACTCAATTGCAAGAAAAAAGTGAGCTGATTAAGAAACTACAAGGGCGGATTCCTTTGTGTCAATCCAGAATAGATCAGTGCCTGAAAAGGATTGATGACTTGAATGAACAAATAACCAAGAAGAAAGCACAAATTGCGGCATTAATGGAGAAGACACTAGAATTTAGATCCAAGAAGGATGATCTGAAGCACAATATTTCATTGGCTACAAAAGATAAGCTTGGTTTGGAAGAAGATTATGGACGCAAAATCAATTACATTCAGAAACTAGAGAAACGACAAAAGCTGCTCGACAAACAAATTCATGATACTCAAGAGCAACACATTAGAAATACTCAGGCAGAAGAGCTTGAGATGCAGGAGAAATTAAAACAGTTAGAAGAGGCGGTGGATCAAGCTCATGTAGTATTTCAAAGATTGAGGACTGAAGAAGATGCTTTACAAGAAAATGTTGCAAGAGCAAAAGATGAATTCAATAATGTTGTCTGTCAGATTGAGGAAAATGCAAAAAAACTCTCTGGTATTCGTAGTCACATTCGTGAGCTTCAACTTAATCAAAGCAGCAAGGTTACAGCTTTTGGAGGTGGTAAAGTGATTCGCCTTTTGGAGCTCATAGAAAGAAGGTGTGAAAGGTTCCGGAGGCCCCCTATTGGTCCAATTGGTTCCCACGTGACCTTGGTTCATGCAGAGAAGTGGGGACTTGCTGTAGAAAATGCCATTGGAAGACTTCTAAATTCTTTTATAGTTACAGACCTTAAAGATTCTCTTGTTCTAAAGGCATGTGCTAGGGACGCCAACTATGACTACCTTCAGATTATTATATATGACTTCTCCATACCAAGGTTAAACATTCCGGGCCACATGCTTCCTGATACTAACCATCCGACTACGCTTTCTGTTTTGCACTGTGATCATCCAACCGTAAATAATGTCCTAATTGATATGGGTAATGCTGAGAGGCAAGTTCTTGTAAGAGACTATGAAGCGGGTAAAATGGTTGCTTTTGAGCAAGCAATTTCAAATTTGAAAGAAGTTTACACTTCGGATGGATATAAAATGTTTTCTCGAGGTTCTGTTCAAACAATTCTTCCTCCAATGAAGAATGCTAGAAGTGGACGTCTTTGTGGCTCATTTGACAGTGACATAGAGAGTCTTGAAAAGGATGCATCTTATTTCCAAGATCTTGATGAAAAATCTAAGAGTGTGAAGAGGAAACTCGAGGAAGAGCTTAGAAGTCTTAACGAAAACATGCAAAGTGTTAAGAGAAGGCGTATTGATGCTGAGCGAGACTTGCAGTCTAAGGATTTCCGTTTGCAAGATGCTAAGAAGTCAAATTTTGCAGTAACTAGCACAACCAATACGTCGAGTGATGAACTTCTTCAAGAGGAATCGAAAATCATTGATGAGATTCAAGAAGAGAGAAAGTTACTGGAACAAATGCAACTGAGAGTAAATGAAGCAGAAACCAAAAGAAATCATTTTAAGATGTTGCTTGAAAATATTTGTGAGTCTGCAAAAGTGGACATTGATGCCTTGGAAAATGCAGAAGGGGAGTTGATGAAGATAGATAAGTATCTAGATGATGCTAAAATGAAGTACAACCATTATGAAAACCTCATGCAAGTGAAAGTCTTAACAGAGCTCAAGGAAGTGGAGAAAGAATATCAGGAACTTGAGCATAGCCGTAAGGAAAGCTACAAAAAAGCTTCTATCATATGTTCCGAGACAGATATTGAAACTCTAGGAGGCTGCAAAGGAAATACGCCAGAGCAACTCAGTGCACAACTAACGAGGCTGAGCAATAGACTGCAACAAGAGAGTCGAAGACACTCAGAATCTATTGATGATCTGCGAACCTTGTATGAGAACAAGGAGCGTATGATATTTAAAAGGCAGCAAACTTATAAAGCATTTCGCGAGAAGCTTTCTGCATGCCGTAAGGCACTAGATCTGAGATGGAGTAAGTTTCAAAGAAATGCAAGTCTCCTTAAGCGTCAGCTGACTTGGCAGTTTAATGGCCACCTAGGAAAGAAGGGGATTAGTGGAAAAATCATAGTCAATTACGAAAAGAAGACCCTTTCTGTCGAGGTTACAATGCCTCAAGATGCATCAAGTAGCTCGGTTCATGACACAAGGGGGCTTTCAGGAGGGGAACGCTCTTTCTCAACATTGTGCTTTGCTCTTGCTCTTCATGAAATGATTGAGTCCCCATTTCGGGCAATGGATGAGTTTGATGTATTCATGGATGCCGTAAGCAGAAAAATCAGCCTAGATGCTCTTGTTGACTTTGCATTGGCTCAAGGGTCTCAATGGATTTTCATCACACCCCATGATATCAGTATGGTGAAGCAGGATGAGAGGGTAAGGAAGCAACAAATGACGGCCCCTCGTTAACTTGTACGTAAAGCTTCTCCCCAATGCAATATTTTTTGTATTCTTACTTCTTGCATGTTGTGAGGCCTAAGATTATTATATTATTGAAATAACTTCACATTGTAAAAAAAGGATCTTAATCTGCGGGTTTTTGGATTTAGTTTTATTCAGAGGCGATGCCTCCATAAAGGATCCTAACTAGAGGGTTTTTGGATTTAGTGTTTTGCAAGGGGTGCTTGTGTAAAAGATCTTAAAGCTTCTCCTCAATGCAATAGTTTTTACCACAAATATATCTTACATATCTTATAAATGTCTACAATGGTTAGGTACCCTCAAATTAATTTGTAGTTTTTCCGTCAAAAACACAAGTACCCATACGTTCTTATGTTGTACGCAGCTTTTCCAATCGCAAACTACCCTTACGGCGTTAGTTCTTCCTCTGTATTAGGGTGACTATCATACGCGTCAATTCTCTTCCTCTTGTCCAGCACCTCGTCTTCCCGATGAAATAGGTGTAATTGCCGCCTGTCCCTCAGCAATCGATTAGAATCGTTGTGCGATTGGAATTGCCAGCATAATCAACCCTGGATTTACGGAATTCCTGGCGATGCATCAGGAAGTCAGCAAACAAAATTGTAATAACAAACTAATTCTAGCAAGTATGCAGATTTGCATGTATGAATGAAATGTTTTTCCTGATTCCTCTTCTTCTATCTATGGTCCCTTCCCTTAATAACCCCCCGCCCAATTATTTCAGCAAGGACGTTCATTTTTCAGAAAATTCTAAAGGAGCTATTTATATTCAATTTTGGGAGATGGGACGAGGCACCCTCTCCAAGATTCCTCCTATGTATAATCTTATGAGTTATTTGGCTTGTTCTTATTTTTGTTCTTTGTTTCTATTATTGCAAGTCAAGAAGGATTATTTTTCACCTACAGGTACGGCCAAACCTGCAACAGCTTGGAGAATCATTCTTCAGGTAATTTAAATTATATGCATTATTTTCACAGTGTAACAACTACAATTATATGCACAACTTTTATTTTTAATCCTATGTATTTCATACTTGAGGCAACTATTGGCTGCTGTTGACATAAACTGCTCAGTAGTTTGATTATTTAGGATTATTTGTTAGTAAAGAAATGCATGTGCTCCAATTACTCCTCTTGAAAGTAACAAACACTCTTACAATTGGTATAGTTTGTACCTTGACTTAATAAATTGACATGCCTAGATTACATTATCTATAAGGGTCCTTTTGAATGGAGGAAAATGATTTCTGTCAAAAGGAAAATCTGGTCTATTATATAGAAAATGACTCCCGCTTTTAAAGTCAGGAGATTTTTTACCCTGTTGATTATCTCTTCTTCCCTTCATAAAATCCCATTTTCCCTCTCTTTTCTTCCCTTCTCAAAATCCTCATTTTCTTCACTTGTTCATCTCTTCTTCTCTCTTTCTTGTATTAAAGCAGTAATAGAATACATGTAGTAAAGAATGATCAAATTCAGATGTGTATTCAGTGTCAGCTTATGTTTATGCTGTTAAACATGGAAGAAATTCATGACTTCCTTTGTGTTTACAACACATGTCAAAGCCCAAAGGTAATAATAACTTTTTTGTGCATCCAAAATTTTTTCCTACATGCATATTTGGTCATATATGGGTGCTTCATCTTCATTTTTTCTCGATTAACCACATAATGTTTTCTTAGTTTTTTAATACTCACTCATGTCCCAAAAATAGCGGCATTGCGGGATTAATATATTAAATAAAAGCTGAAGAGAATAACACCTAACTTCAGGCCTCATATGTTTGAAACTTAATGTGTAAAACCATTGTGAACAATATGCTGGTCATCTTATGGAGAAAATTCAATCTAAGAATGTGCTTCACAGAGCCTTCAGTGTTTTCTTATTTAACTCTAAACAAGAATTCCTTCTTCTGGG